ATAGCAGCAGACACCCTCATCATAAAAGATTCCCGGTACGAATTTGTAAACGCAAGAACTTCCCCCACCGGATTTTAGAAACAAAACACACCCTCTGTATTTCAGTATTTTCAAGACAAGACATTTACGAGGAGTATTGATGCATGCAATATTCATGGACTCATAGCTAACAAAAAGGACAACAATTGACCTAAATTCAAAGCATTTGCAATTGAAATTTCTCTGGCAGTTAGACTCAACAGACTCGAAGTACCCAATCTTAGGAAAAGCATCGAACTTTTTAAGTAGAGTTTTTACAACGAAAGCGATTTGAACTGTCTTGGCATGATGAATGATGAAAAATGTGAAACAAAGTGGAGGTGGAAAAGCTTAGTGGAGGGAAAATGGTAGTGCTGCATAGGATATTGTTGTGCGTCATTACGACTGTATGCAATGCAGCGTAAATCTTCTGAGGCTCTCATACAATGGCGAGAGGGTTCATTAGTGCTGCTTTTGAAACTTTGAAGCAGCTTTACGTATTATTCGCTAAGTATGAGTATATAATACGTCTACATTGACTACGTAGAGAAATACAAAATATTAAATATGTATGTACGTATTTTGAGGAAATAGTAGCAAATAACAATCGTGCGCTGCTAAGCCTTTAGTGCACATTTTTTTTCTTTATTTTACTACGTTTTTTTCTGCGGCAAAGCTAGTAGTAGTTAAAGCATTGTGTAGTGGCACTACAAAGGAATAAATAAGAAGTGTATGTATTGTGGCTTTACCAATTGTAAATTTGAACTATGAGTTCTATTGTTAGCTGAGTAAAAGTTTTCAAATAAAATATGCCATTCTTGGTAGCTGAAGGAAGTAATTAAAGGCATAAAGTGTGAGCGAAATGTAGTGGAATAATTTATTTAAAATTTTTAACGGAAGATTGAGCTAAAATATGATATAAAATAAATGAGAAAATATTTTTTTTTCTAATTTTACACTAAATGCAGCCCGCCCATTTTTATGTAAAGAACTTTATCTGATTTTTTTTTCAGTAGCGAATTTTGATAGTGTACAAATGCTTCAAACTATTTTTTTTTTTTTGATGTTAATTGAGTCAAGAATCGAACCTGGAGCCTACCGGGTGATAGTGCGCACACTCGATCTGGGTTTTCAAGTATGAACCAAAGTCTGGCGTTAGAATTGATGGAGGTGCGTTTCGAAATGAACGTGTTTTGACTGGCTGCGAACTCATAAATTACCGTTACCGGCCGGGGAAATCCTAGCCTCTCTATCTAGATTGCCTCTGATTATTTCCAAATTTGAAAGATTTGGGTACCAGGACATAGCTACATTGCAATGCAGGACACCTGTCTTGAGGTCGTGTTTTCTGCCAGTGTAGATATAGAGCACCATTTAACCACTTTCAGCCTGCTCTTACGACAAAATAAAGTGAATGCGAAGACCTCTAAGGACCTACTTGGGCTGGAAATTAGACAATTCTCCAACCTATGTATTGATCGAATACTGCTTGATAGGAATTCATGTGGTAAAACTTAACAGCTCCTTAGGCCCTTATTGCCGGAGCATTTCGGCATACGATTGGGTGGAAACATTTCAACATTTTCTTCTTAACCGCTCATATTTTATTAAAAGCTTGAGGTGGACATCGGATGTCTTTTAATTTGCCTTAGAGACCTAACTTTAAAAGCTTTGAAGTTTCTATTCTATTGCCGGTTTAAAGGAAAACCGCCATTGCTATATTAAAGTAAAATGTAAACGGCAACTCAAAACAATCAAATAAAAATAAACTTTCTTTACTAAATAAGTGCGTATAAGCGAATGTGAGGATAGCCCATAGGAAATTAAGCATGTAGACAAACAAATGCTCATACATATAGAAAGTCCTGTTAAAGAGTGAGCTTTACAAAGGATATACATACAGAATATATTTCATAAAACCCTTTTTGACTTTTGCTTTTGTTGTATAAACTAGTCAAAGTGAAGTTGGAGTTGGTTGAATGAAAAGGAAAAGCAACACAAACACCGGCAAGGGGATGGTAAAGCTTTTGTATAAATATCAAATAAATAGAGAATTATACTAAGGTTTAAGTGAATTAACTTCATATACATACGTCATGAATTAAGAGGCGAAAGTTGTTTGAGGGTGAATAGGTTGGATACTCGTGTAATTGTATAAAACGAGGCTGAGGTTAATGCCTTGCACACTACGCTTATGTATGTATGTCTATGTATAAATGCTTTTTATTAATTAGATTCTAAGTGAATTGAGTTCTAAAAGATAAAACTTCAAAGAAACTTTGGACAGAATGATTTATCGAGTTTCTCGAAAACAAAGAAAAAAAAATGTACTGAAACTTATTCGAGTAGAAAGTAAGTGTAGTTTCTTAATCGTGGAGAAAAAAATCTACTAGCGTGTTAAAATAAAATACTATGCCTAATAACTAAAAGCTTCTACAACTTCGGAAAACTACTAAACAGCTAAGAAAAGCTTATGCGCCCGAAAGTATACTTGAATTAACGGTTAAACAGTAGAAAATTATGTAACTGGGAGCTTATTTAAACTGTAAACATCAAACTCTCTTTTCCCGAGTTTTTGATTTGTTTGGATTATGACACTCTTGCCGTAAATGAGCGATTTATGTATACGTATTTAAATACCTTTCATGTGCATCTACATGCTCACTTGTGCAAACAATTCATTGCATGCCAATTAAATAAGAAATTACCTTAATGGCCAAGCTCTAAATTTAGCCAAGATAAAGTTTTTATGCACGCAATAAACGCCAAGGAAAAGCATTGCATGCTTTGTGGCGTTTAAGCTGCCAGCCAAGGCACACGTTAAAGCCATAAGTTACGTACATATCACGTATGTATATGTAGCACTAAATACAATGACGTAAATTAAGGAAAGATTGTGAGCGGTAATAAAATAGTTCACATAGCGTTTATTGCAAACTTATTTTTAGCTAACATCATAAAAGTTCAGCGCCAACTTTCACTCATTAACAGCAAAAGTGGCCAAGTTGTGTTAAGCGTTGAAGTATGAGCGGCAGAGGGATTTATTCGTGTGTGCAAATACATAAGTATGTGTGTTAAAAGGTTTTTAAACTATGTAGTTAAATTTGTGGTAAAGTTCGTGAAAACTATAAATTCAAGGTTAATGCGCGAACTTTGCTGGCGGCAAAGAGAGATAGTGACTATAATTTGCTCTAAGTTGCTAAGCCACAAGTTATGACGCTGCTCATACGCCATCATCGGCAGTCAACCGTTTGTTTAGTGTTTTTGAGCTAAAACTAATCACAAAATGTTGTTCATTTCTGCTAATTCTTAATAAAGTTATTTTGCGTCAAATGTTTTTATTTATCTTTGCTAAGGTATGAGTTTCTGGCTGTACTTGATTTTATGGCAAAATTTCTAATAATAAAAATATAATAAATAAAATAATGAAACTTTGAGTAATTGCCCCTAAACTTCTATTACGGCTGATATATATACATACATATATCAAAAGCATTACGAGATTTTATCAAGGAACTAGCAAATACCCGGCAGCTTTACCGCGCCTTAAAAGTATTTTTCTGTTGTTACTCCCTCCCAAAACTCTTTTGGCCTCATTCATAAAAAATAAAATAGTTTTATAGAGCTTTGTGAGGGAATACTTTCAAACAAATTTTCGATTTAAGAAGCAGATATTTTTTAAAAATGTGGGTGTTGGTTACTACTTAGAAAGCATGTAGAGTATCGGCTTGCTCCTGGAAAACTAATTTATAGTCTTGTAACTCTAGTGTACATATCGCACACTTTCTTCAAATGTGTAGTAATTCAATATTTACCTTATCTTATAAATTTAAAGGTGGATTCATCGCTTCAGAACTTTTCTCACAAAGAGAGAAATATAGCAACAACCACATGGAAGAAAAAGGTCAGAACTAGAACAATGAATCGGCCTTAACTGAAATAAATTTTTCAAATACAAATGTATGTAGGTGGCATAAGGCCTGGCAGTTACGACAAAACCAGGGAGCGGGGGTTAGCATGGTCATAGTGATAAAAACAGTGCTCGGAAGGTCCTCAGTGCGTTTTCGCGAGATCCGAAGATTTTGTCGCGTTATGTTGCAAAATCCGTACGGAGATCGCAGTTTTTCGTACAAAAGGTAAAGCGAAATGCTTCATTGAGATGTTCTACAACAGCGCCAGACCGCGGCGCAAAGAAGAATATTACAGCGAAATCCCGCATTCGGAAGTTGTATAAATTCTAAATTAAAAAATACAACTGAATTGTTATGGACTGCGAAACCTAATGCTATAAAAATTCAAAATATATTGCTGCAAGTCGTCAAGATGCCCCTGAAAGTTGTAAGCTGAAAATGAAGTCCAAATTTCCAAAAAAACCACATGGTTTGGCAAGCTATTTGTTTCTGTGGCCGAAAGAGCAGCCCTTTTTTCCCATCCGGGACAATGAATGATCAAATTTATCGGGATGAGTGCCTCACAAGACGTCTTCTGTCATTTATCAACAGATAAGGAGTAGGCCACTATTCTAGGCGGCAATGGCAAGCTGCCAGTATGCCAAGGACACATTGCCGTGGTATAATGCAAATAACATCAATTTTGTACCTCACGACTGCAATCCACCCAATAGCCCAGAGCCACGTCCTATTGGGGAATATTGGTCAATTGTCAAAGGAATCTTGAAGAAAACAGGTGAAAGAGTGAAAATTATTGAAGAGTGCAATACAAAGTAGTTGTGCGCATCGCGTAATTGTCGATGATGCAGTCGTGCAGAACATGATGGCGCGTGTGCGATGAAAATACCGATCACTTGCATATGGAGCAAATAATAACTAATATTTTAACATTTTAATAACATCTAAACTTCCAAGTTATATAATACAAAAAAAAAAATAATTTCAAAGCCTTCTAGTTTGTTTCTGGTAGTAATTTCTAAGTGTCGCAGTTTTGGTGTGTTCACCCTTTAATAAAATCAATTTAAAACTTACCTGCATTTCTGGCGGTCCACCTTCATCACGTATCAATAATAAATAACTTTGGCCATCTATGAATACCTCCTTCTTAAAGCGACCGCCCTCAGGCGACTCCTCTTGCATATAGGAACCAGTTAAATATCGATGCACTAAAGCTGATTTGCCAGAGTTCAGTGAACCGACAATGCCCAAACGCAAATCGGGTACTGAACGTGAGATCGTCCATTCTTGACTGTTGACAAAGGAGTCTGGAAAAAAGTTGAAAAAAATAAACAAAGAAAATTTAAGAAAGTTAAACAAGATTTATTCTGGCAAGTAAGTACATACATACATATGTATGAGTAGTATAGTATATGAAATTTTTAATGTAGTGTTGATGATATCTTAGTACATATGCATATACGCAAAAAAATAAATTTTTGATAATTTTTTAAAATCTCACATACCAACGCGTTTCGGGGGAAATTAGTGACCAAACCCATTTTTGGTAGTTTCATATTTACATGTTTTGTGATTTTACAGCGAAATTGTGTCTAAGATAATTTAAGAATTTATTTAAATTACCAAAATGTTGGCCAATTAGTATGCAATGCATAGCCAAATGCCACTCTATGCATACTATGAGTATTTTTTCAATAACTGATTGGACATGCTGATTTTGTGTGCGCTGCATGCCAACAAAAATATATGATTGCTGACAATCGTGCATGTCAATAGGCAAAAAAAAAACTAGCAAACCGAAAAGTTACCGCACAATAAAGTCGGTAATCTTATGGACATTTAATTGGCAGCATAAAGTTTTTTCTAATAAATTTATTACAACAACTTCAACATAAATAACTATAATATTTCAGTTGCGCATGAGAGTTGTCACATAAGTAATACGCACACTTTATGACAGCCGTCAGCAATGACATTTTGACATTGCTTTAGATAAGCGACAATTGGTGTGAAAAAAAATATATATGCAAAATAGAGTAAAATATTAACAAAATAATTATTTATAACAAGTGTGTGAACAAATGTAGGGTCACATGTGTTTAGAATGACTTTTTCCGGAGAAATACTTAGACATCTTTTAGTCGTTTAGATGTCTAAAAATTTAGTATTCTAGGAAGTCCAAATGTTATAAAGTTTCAAGCGTGCAAAAAAAAAAACAAAAATTTTTTGATATATTACTTCCGCCTTCTAAATGTCATATGCGTAGCGCACGAAAAAAGTACATGAATTAGAGAGAAAAACTAAAAAAAAAAAAAATCACAATTGTCAACCGGCTATCATCATATGGCACTGTCGGCCATAAGTTTATCCCCTTACTACAATAAATAGCAGTTAGTGTGTAGTACAAGCACCAGACAGCAGCTAGTTTTCAGCTCAGTGTTCCTTTTTTTATTTACATAGTTTTATGACAATGCAGATCATCCGACTATAGGCAGAATACTGGAGAAGATATGCTGGTTTCACGCCCTTTACTCTCTAACATATTGCAGTTGTGGTGGAACATGTTTTCGACTTACTTTAGACTACTAGATACGCGTATTACATGCCATTTTGTATTCCTCAGGCTACTACTATTTTTTCTCACAAACGTACATGTATTTACACGCAATTAGCAGCAGTGGGATTTTGTTTTGTTTTTGTTTTGTAAGGCTTATTCGTGGTACTACAATGTTACCGGCTCGATACTTACACAAACCTATGAATGAGTGACATACATATTTATGTATGTATGTAAGTAGATATGTATGTATTCATAACAGGCAAATGTAGAAAATTGCTATTCTGAGATCCTTAGATGATAGCCCTCGTGTACGCTCCAGCCTTCATCTCTAACACAGCTCCTCCTCACAGCGCTTCATTATTAGCTGCTCTTTCCAGACGTTATTGTATGTCCTTGCCTCTACTTGTCGTGTCGTAAATTCCCGCATGTGCTCGTAAATATGTATATGAATGTGTACTAGGGTGGTCCAAAAATACATGGGGAGAAAATAAGGTCGGAAATTTAATGCTCTCACCCACCAGGATTGTTCAGTATCGAAATGTTTTTATTTTGAAATAAACAAATATTTAGAGGTCGCTCAAAACACTCAAAGTTTCCCATGTAATTTACATACTTGGGAAAAACAAGTTTTCGTAGAAATGGTATAGAATTCTTGAGATCAATATTTTTCAAAAAATGCAATGCAGGAACCTTTTGAAGTTTTTAGGGGTCCTATAAAATAGTTAATAATAGAAACAGTTGGGTATAGTTATTGGAAGTCTCCTGGAGAGAAACGAAGTTTTCCGATCAAAAAATATTGATTTCAAGAATTCTATACCATTTCTACGAAAACTTGTTTTTTCCAGAGACATAACTATTGTAAATGAAAATAATAAAAGTCAATCAATAATCATTATATTAAGATAAATATTTTTGAGTCATCTATAATTATTATTCAAGGACTTATAATTATTATTCAAGGACTTATATTAGTCCTTTCATAATAATTATCATTGAGATAAATATTTTTAAGTCTTCAAAGACTTTTACTTTAAGATTTATATTATAAAAGTGTTTTCATAATAATTATGAGCGCGAAAAAATTTTTTAAAGCCTTAAAATACGGGACTTGTCCAGGAGCATTTCAGGATTAGTCCAGGTCGGGGCTAGATGGGGACCAGTTCAGAACTAGTGGGGAGTGGTTTGGGACAAGTTGGGGCTTGGTTTGGCACCCGTTCGGGACTATATACAAAATTTTTTCGCACTCATAATTATTATCAAAAGGCTTCTATAATATAAGTCTCAAAATAAACGTTTTTGAAGACTTAAAAATATTTGCCACAATGATAATTATTATGACAAGACTTTTATAATATAAGCCTCAAAATAAAAGTCTTTGAAGACTTAAAAATACTTATCTCGCTGCTAATTATTATGAAGACTTCTATTATATAAGTCGTCAAATAATAGTTATCGATGACTTAAAAAAATTCGATCACACAAAATTACTCTCAAAAGACTTACGAAAATTTGAATGACTTTTTTAGTACTCCACCATGAAATAATTATTATTCTGGGTCTCTGGTTTTTTTCCCATATAAAATACAAGGAGAACTTTGAGCGCTTTGAGCGACCTATTTAAATATTTTTTGATTTGAAAATTAAAAAAAGAGGGGAATAATTGTGTTGGCTTTAGTACAATCCTAGGGGGTGAGCGCATTAAAATTCCCACTTCACTTTTTTTGGACCACCCTAATGTCTACGCGCATTCTGAAAATATCATATACGCAGTTTGTACTCACGTCCATCATGCCTTTGATTGACAGCTCGATGCCCAGGCAGTCAGGCAGTCATCCAGTTACTCATATCAAGGCACACTACATTATCCTCACACACTCTGCCCTGCACAAAAAGCCAGTTAGCCTGCTTGAGGGGCAACAACTGTCTGGTCTTCTCAGTTTCTGTTGTCACTGTTAAAAATTGTTTGATTTCTGGCTGGACACTTTTGTGATTTAAATGCATTGCTACAGTTTAAATTTTTCGGCAAATTTGCAACTTTCAGTTCGCCTTTTGTGGTGCTTTGACTTGCACTGTTTGCTCTTGTCGAGTTACTTAAAAGACAATAAATTTTGTCCTGCAAAAAAGTAAAATGAAAAAAAGCGCAATTTCACACAATTGTTGCTTCCAGTTTTTGCCTTTTGATTTTTCTTTACTGATTTTTTGAAAAGAAATTTTTTTGCAACAGTTGCCATTCGTCACTATGCGACATTTCGAGAAGCGTAACAAATTCGCAAGTGTGTCAGCAGCTGCTTGATGTTGTCAAGCCATACGTCACATGTCACCATCTTGTCATTATTCCATATATGTAAAAATATATTTATATATATGCGTATGTGTACAGTGAGCTCCTAAAGGAGGCGTACTCTGGCTTATAGCGTCATAAAATATTTACCTTTAAAGGGATGGGTGTAGTATGTATTGTCATTTTATTCAAAAGAAATAGGCCTATTTTCTTAAAAGAACGAGCAGAAAAAATTTTGAACTAAAAACTTTAATAATGTGGACAAATAGCGCATCGTCTTGCCGGTAATGGTACTACTTAGAAAATTGGGCTCGAATCGTAACATCCGTTCACGGATCGAAAAACATACGAAAGAAAATTACGTGATACGTCAGTCGCATAAGCGGGATGGTATAAAGAGTACGTTCACGTATGTCATAATCCGAAAAGTGTGTTTTTACGAGACGAGTATTACGATATCGTATGTGACGATTCGAGTCCTAGTCTTGTTCCATGGCAAATCTTGATAATTTAAGGTAACTACTTCTTACAGCTTATCTATTCAATGGGCATATTTATGATTGTGTTTGACGTATGTAAAGGTTTTTTGCCTGGAGGATGTTGAGACATCACACTGATCATATTTTGTGTCTTAGTCAGGTCAGAGTTTGAAGTATTTCAACTTTTGAATAGTCGAGAGTTGTATCCTCAATCACCTTCATAGAATGTGTACCGCAGTGTTTCCAGTAACTGGGTTAATAAAATCCCGTCTAAATACATCCTAAATCCCGTTTTATACTAAAGATATAACAGAAATCCCTCTTTGATTTTTTTTTTCGAAACTCTACAGCTCTGAGGCATTTTATTGTATAATCTTGGTCAATGATAGGTTTTCTTCAGAATTGAATGCTCTCAAAAAGTGTCCATTGCAGCGTAATCCGTACTCCCATCAGCAAGGTAGTACGGGTCATTAAACCCAATTTTTCATGAAATTCTTGTTCATACAGTTTCCAATAAAAAAATTCTATGAAACCAAACCGCTAACATCGATATTTCTTTAGATATTGGACTTTGCAGTTGATCAACAATTTCTATAATTTAGCCCAATACTCCGTGAAAATTCCACACTACCTCAACTTCAAGGCCCAATATCTCAAGAAATATCAATGCTGGCGATTTGGTGTTCTAAAAGTGTTTTGTAGGAAATTGAATGTACTACAAGTTTGTCGTTTACATTTTTTCTGCAGCTTTTATTATTTACGAGGTAGGTGGCAAAAAACGACAATTTCATAAAAAAAATTGGGTTTTGTTCGCCGCATTGGACACTTTTGTAGAGCATTCAATTCTGCAGAAAACCCATCATTGACCAAAATTATACCATAAAATGCTTCTGAGCTGTAGAGTTTTGGAAAAAAATCAAAGTTTACGTGTATTTTATATCGGAAATCTTTGCACGCCTTGGGCGAGGACTTAATGTTAATATTAAG